TTTTCAGAGATAATTAACAAATAAAATTAATTTTAAGTTCTAAAGCAAGAAAAATTTAAATGACCTATTTTCTATAAATAATTAATAACTGAGAAATTCATGGAAGAATTGTTACTATATCTTGTTGTGTTTTCATAGCATTACAGTATCTATGAAATGCTCGGGATAACCATTCATTTTTAAAACATTTCTTAAATATTCTAATTCATCGTCAATGTCATTTACTTCACAAATCGTTTTCGCTCGGTTGATAATTAAGTATCTTACACGCGGAGTTTACAATACTAGGATGATGAAATGAAATATAATGCAGATACCTGTCTCTGTGTGTTGGTTTCCTATAAACCTATGTCCTAGCGACCCATCTTTCGGTATACTGAACAGAACATCTAAGAAGGGTATAGTTTTATCATTCTTCTGTACTTCTAAAGTAAATTTGGTGGAAGGATGCAAAATATTAATGTGGTCAAGAAACGTTTGTAAATTATCTAGTCCACTTACTGAAAATGGACTATGAATGAATGTAACCAAAGCACAAAAGCGATTGCATTTCTGAATTCAGATCCAACTCATATGGCTAGAAATTTGAAACAACATGCATGCTGTCACAATATGCGCACAACGTAAGAAATTTTGAAATTTAAGATATATGGGCGCACGGCGGGATAATATTAATAGGAATGAATATAGGTAATATCAAAAATGAAAGCAACAAGATATATACGACAACCAAGCCGCACACACCCAAAATAATAACTGCAAAAACCGGGAATACACATCTCAATGGAAAATGATTTGCAATTCGAACCATTTTTAAATATGAGCATATGTGGAGCCAAAATGGCAAATTTTCACTATATTTTGACCAAACTGTACAGCTTTTCAAGCGAGACTGCACACTTGCAAGCTTCTAGGTTTGTTGTACGATGTTTGGATGTAGTAAATTCTTTAAACTGGCCATTTTGGGGGATCACATCATTAAAAAACACGAGAAAATACTGCCAAAGTCAAATATTTTTTTCAAAATGGCGGCCAAGCAAAACAATTTCTTTGCCTCTTTTCAAACAGAGGGCAATTTTTTTGAGCATGTGCAAACCAGCGCGCAATTCTAGGGCGAGTTGAAGAGAATGAATATGGCGCCGCATATTAGGAGTGTTTCGTGGATTTATATGGTTTTAAAGCTGATAAAACAACATTTCAATGAACGAAAACTTTGTAATTTTTATGGGAAACATTAGACTATGTATTTCAAAGGTTTTAAATTAATTTAAATAAATACTTTTCATAGTAGTAGTGGTAGTGGCAGTGATAGTGGCAGTAGTAATAATAGTGGCAGTGGCAGCGGCAGTCCGGCACAGCACGGCACAGTACGGCACAGTACGGCACAGTACGGCACAGTACGGCACAGTACGGCACAGTACGGCACAGTATGGCACAGTACGGCACAGTACGGCAGTAGCAGTAGCAGTGGTAGTGGCAGTGGCAATGGCAGTGGCAGTAGCGGTAGCGGTAGTTGTAGTGGTAGTGGTAGTGGTAGTGGTGGTGGTAGTAGTAGTAGTAGTAGATTTTATTTATCACCTATTGACAGATAATTACAGTGGTATTACAGATTAAAAAATATTATAGTATATAACTATATAAGTATATAAACTTATATTAGCTATAATTCTGTTTCTGACTATTTAGCTAAATAAGAAAAATTATTGGCTATTTGGGGAAGCATCATCGTTGACTGCTGCAAAAACTTTCAGATCCAAAGAAACTTCCAGAACAGAAACAATTTTCCAGAAAATTGGCGTCAATTGATACGACGTTAAACTTCCTGTAACAAAATTACAATACAGTACATAAGAGCTAGCTGATGTGGTTCCATCCAAAATCAAGCATGGCGGACAAGGCGGTAACCGAGAGAGAGTGTGTTGAGTTGCTAAATCAATATTTAACATTTGATGGTGATGAATTTCGATGGACGGGCACCTGTAATCAATTAAAATTATATTTTGCTGAGGATCTGAAGCTTTCTGGCAATTGGACTTCCCAAGTGGCGGAGTGTGGCTATTTTCAACCGACGAATTTCAAGTCAAATGGCAAAAGTCCATGAAGCTGGTCATCGTTCGAGATAACTCAGATAAGTTTATGTTAAATTGTCTTATGAAGTCAAGAATGGTGAACAATCCTAGATCAAACCAGCCTATTAGTCCTGCCGTCGTTTTAAACGACGTTTATGCCGACGTCGCCTCCGCTCCTAGCGATAATAATGTCAATAAAGACAATAATTTCACAAATACGTTTGAAATGTCTGTTAGGCCTACTCAGGGGCGGTAAATCGCCTTAAATCGCCTAATATCGCATTTAATCGCGGGTTAAAATTGTCAAATTTCTTTTAAATCGCCTAAAATCGCTTAAAATCGCATTAACTCGCCAACATGCATTCTGTTTGATACATCCAGTCTATGTACTCAAGTTTATCAATTGCTGCTATTTTGCTGGCAAATCATGTAATCCAGGTGTTTTGCAATCAAAAGTAATGCAACATGGATAAATCAAATAAGTGGATTAGGCTGACAATATTTGGCGCTCAATAAGCAGCGGTCATTCATAAAAACAGAGACGTTTTCTGCTTTATGCAGACTTTACAATAATTAGGCAATTCTGGGATCTAAAAGACCCATAGATCCCATACACTACCAGCAACAAAATTGAGTTACTAGTTAATTTCATTATTGGTGTAAATGGAGGCTGGGCTACAATTTATAAGGACTATGGAGGCTGGGCTACAAATTAATCTATAATATACATGGCCTCTCAAAGTCTAATTGCTGTTAGAACAATAGTAGGAGACTATGAGAGTCAATGAGTACGAGTGTTGATTTATATAATAAGGCCATCCTGCAATTTGTGCACTGTTGCATGCAGATCGAGCACTGCATTGTATACAATGGTTGTACTTCGACATGTGCATGGTTATACTCTAGCTCCTAGTTATAATTATATTGGCGATCAAACGAAAAACATACATGAGGTTATGAGCGAGATTTGCAAGTTTTGCAACTCTCATCTATTAAATTTTCCAGACCTGTAGCTATATAAAATAAACAGTAAAACAATGATTACATCGTACATACCATACAATCTTTGTTGTTGTTCGTTTGCGGAACACTTGACAAATTTAAATATATTGATGGTAAAAGACCTAAAACCACGATGTAGGCTAGTGCGCCATGTGTTAAATATAATTTTGTAAATACTTCATGTAAATTAAACATTACGGCATTACGCCGACAGTTTCCAAATGCGTGACAATACTGTTTCTGGATATAGCACTGGGATATAGATTTAATATAGATATCAAACATTTTATAAAACATGTTTGTAGCATGAAGAAAGTACGAGATTGAAACAGTTTAAATAAAATGCAAGCTAAATAAAGAAGTGTTGACAAGATACAAAACAAGACAATTTCACTTACAAGGGTGACAAGGTAATTTATAGGATTATACTGTAGCTTATTATTACTGTATAAATCTACCCCCTGTGGGCTGCATGTGGTTCTTTTGGAAATCAAATATTTATTATATTTTGCAATTTTAAGTCAACATAAATTAATAATATTAAAGTTTAAGACATGTGTAGTTCAGTTCTAGGTTGGCATATTGCAATTATGTACCGTACATGCCCCTTAAGTAAAGTATATTTATTATTAACACCTTGTCCACCATACTTACCCGTTTGGTTGGTTAGGTGTTAGCTCAGCTGAGCGAGGGGGGTGACCTGAACGGACTACTGTTACTTGGACTCAGATTAAGATCCATGAGAATGGCATCTTGAGCTGCCACCCCCCACCGAACTAACACCTTCACATCAATTAAAAATTGGTGGAAATAAATTGTTGAACTAAGCATACAAAAGAAAAAAAAATAGCAACCAGGCGGATGTGAACCACTCCCTCCCATAACTGCCGCCACAGCCCTTGGTACCCAATGCATCAGTCGATAATTCAAAGTCATCCACCGGTGCCCATTCTGGCAGATCAAAAAAACGAAATCCCATTCCAAATCGGTAACAACTTGTCCCGCCAGTGAAGATCAAGGCGAGCTTGCTTTGACAGGCTAATGAATTTCCGGTTGGGTTTGGATGAGCGAAGCAGATTTAGGAGGCGTTGCAGGAATGTGCGGCCAAGTGCCACCACCACACAGGCATGACTGAGTTTACCCACCAAGGATTCTAATTCCTTACGTGTGCAAAACATCTTGTTCTTCCACGCTACTATTGTGGTTCGCAGTTCGAGTAATTTAACATCAGGCAACGTGCTGTCATGGTGATCGAATTCAGTTCGATGCCGAGAAATATAATGCAGGTTGTGGGTCCTTCGCACTTCTCAGGAGGGAATGGAATGCCGATATCGAGAGAAGCTTGCTGAATCGCATTAAGGGAGTGTGCACAAACAAGAGTCCCTGCAGGGCCGAGCGTGAAAAAGTCTTCCAAGTAGTGCAACAGGTCAGGTACGTGGTAGTTGTATTTTACAATCCATTCAAACAGATCTGCCAGTGAGTTAATTAAAAATACCTGGCGCTGAGCGGACACCAAACGGTAAGGCGATATCCACAAAGTACTTGTCTCGCCATTTCATGCCCAGGAGATATCTATCCCCTGGATGGATTGGGATGATGCGGTATGCTTTCTGGACATCGGTTTTACCCATTAAAGCGCCCCTGCCTGTCTTAACTATCATTCTGATGGCATCTTGAACAGTAGTGTACACAACTGGAAATTCGTTTTTTAAAATACCATCACTAACGCTATGACCAGTGGGAAATGATAAGTCTAAAATTAGCCGCCATGCATCTGGTTTGTTTTTCTTCGGAATGACGCCAAAGCGACTGATGTGTATATTTGGAAAGGGAGGGTGGTCAAAAGGCCCAATTACCCGACGTGCATGAGTTTCGTCAGCCAGATACTTATCAATGACATCTGGATGAGCATCCGCTGAGGAACATTCGACTGTGCCGAGATTAGCGAAATTTTATCTCTATAAAAACCCGTGCGAAAACCCTCCTTGAGACCATTAACAATGTAATTAACTTTCACACGATCAGGATGTGCTGTCAATTGTGTGTGCAAAATGTCAACGTTAATAGGAAAGTTATCTGATACCGCTATAACTAAATATTCATGAAGATAGTTTCCTGTTAAAGCAGACGGCCCGGAAACGGCCGCCTGCGGAGTTTCGACTAACTCATTTCGAGTGTGCGCGCCGTGAATAGTTTGCTAGTTCATAAGGGCGCTTTTTTTCTCCTGAGGGAAAACGCTCGTGTTCGACACGCCGGTGATAGGCTTTGCAATTTGGGACGGAGCAAATGTGACTATATTGGCAGGTGTCCCGGCTGCCGGTGCAACGCCCCGAGTTCCATGAGTAACAACATGGCCGCGATGTGGAACTACGCCGGGGCTCGCGAAATCTATGCTCTTGCGGGGGATTACGGTTTGCAAAGGCCGTGTGGTAATTGTATAAATCCGGCCGCATCACACTCCAATCCCGTGTATTGTTAGCTGCGGCTTCTCGGCGAAATGCGCGATCATATTGTAGCCATGCCATGCCCGCAAAGCGTTTAGACGTGCGAATGATTAGGGCCATATACGCCAAAAAATCTCGACTGCGGGATGGGGAAAAATGCGTAAGCACGGCGGTATAGCTATTAAAACATTCGACCCACGTTAGAATATCCGATATATCACGTTTCTTGGTAGATGCCGGTTTGGGGATAATAGAAGAGCCCTCGATAGAGAAAACCGCCGTTTCTGATTGAGGTTCTGCTAGGTTATCGGGATTTAACTCTGACATTTCAATAAACTCGTGAGTCACGATTCGTTTAACCAATTTTGCTGGAATTGGAGCTCTGCCAGGGCCGAGGACAAAAGCATTTTCGGGGCTCGAGTTAGGTACAAACGCAGATGGACAAAATTGTCTAGCAAGTTCGTGATTTTCCGATATTCCATAGAGTCGAGTTTGCGTGATGTTCACAGACGGATCGGCGTGCGTTTCTGCGCCATTTAATTCACTAGTTACGACAAACAATGGAGCATTCAACATACCTGTGTTCTGCCGAGACTGTGAGCCTCCTACCTGAGTCTCTAGCTGATGGACCGTCCGTGTAGCACGCCAAAACGTGTTTGCAGGATTCCCCAGTTCTTCCAGGCTGGCACTCTGGTCGATCGGTGCTCTTGACTGGCGCAATGCTTTAGTAATTGCCACTTGAAGGCCCGTTGTAAACTCCGGTGTTTGGAACGCAGCAGCCCACTGTATTGACGGACTAGGAGTACGAGTTTCTCCGCCATTCGGTGTTGACTCAGATGCAGAACTCTGATCAGACGCCATAGCCAATTCTTACAGGCAACAACTAAAAAACGCGCAAGACGAACACAAAATAAAATATTCGAAACGCACGTTGATGTTGTTTGGACGTCAGACTTGGAATGATAGATGTCACCTACTCCCATTGCGCCATCCCCCCGGTCATGTGACGTGCTGACGTCAGAATACCTGGTTCCCAAGTTGCTAACCTCGGTTTTTGCATAACCTCATTAAACTGTTTACAATATATGTGGTACATAATGTAGCCATGAATGACCACATGGCCGCACAAGATGAACCCCAATGGCTTCTAAATAGACAATGGACGAAGAGTTCATGAAAATTGAGCTTCATATATGATTCATGTTAAATACAATAATTAATTAACCTAGCTTTTAATATAAAATGTACGTACATGTTCTAATAATTGTATTTTGCTTCATACAATGCATATGTGTGTGGAAACATTACATTATTATTCAGCTGACTCCCCATTGGGGCTTTTCAGTGGCCGATTACATCAAGTATTATGTACAACTAGAAAATACATGCATGTAGAAACCCTCGCCTTGCTGACAAAACCATTGCATTTTTCGAACATGAAGTGTCTAAAGTAGTTGTCATGGTAACACGATAATTTTTAAGAATATTCTTTTAATACAAATGAAAAATTGCCTAAAAATATCACTCTTAATTACAAAATTATCAATTTCCCAACATTTATATGTTAGGTATGTTATTATACGTAATATAGGCTTCAATTTAAGGTAAAATTCAACCACAAACGCTTCGCAAAACGTTTAAAAGTGTTCTTTATAAAACTAAACAGCCTTTAATTAAATGGCTTTATCGATAAACTTTGAGTTTGCAATAAAATGATTTCAAATTCTATTAAAAAAGGGAATCAATATTAAAGATATACTGAAATTATATGCTGTCTTGTTTAGTTGTTTCATATACGCAAAGGCCGTCGGGTTTTAAAGCAATTATAAAATCAATATTGAAAACAAACTTACCTTCGTTAACGTCGACTCCTTCTTTTAGCCGATTCTTTCACCCTTTCTTTCTGAGAAGCTTTTGAAATTTACAAAATCTTGCAAAAATGCGAGCAAAAATGAAATATATTTGCAAGAAATTTATCAATCATCAAATCAAGAAATGTTTGCTATTTCACTGTCGTCATGCAGTCGTTATAATACAAGCTTTAAATTGGACCAATCAGTGTCCGCTATTCTTGACAGTCCGCCATATTTTTGAGATCAGTGAGGATGACCACCCACCGTAACATCGTTGGTGAGCCACGCCCGCGCTCATTGATGAACTTTAGACTTCACTAATGCTTTCGTTTCCCCCGGGTGTAAATAGCCGGGGGGAATTAGCACCCTCGTACGGCGCTTCGCGCTGTCGGCTCGGGGACAACGAGAATATGATATTATTTTCCTAACTATGTTTATCCTAACCCACCCTGCCAATTGTGCCCGGTGGGAGGAAACTGGAGCAAAATATAAAATTTAATTACCTTGAAAACACCTAAATTGCAATCCCTAAAATCGCATTAAATCGCAGTGTTTGAAAGTCACAGTTTTTCCTTAAATCGCCTAAAATCGCCCCAAATTGCATTACCTCACGGCGATTTATGGCGATTTACCGCCCCAGAATAGGCCTTCTGTTAATAACAAACTTGAGAATATTCTCAAAGTTCTGTCTGAGTTTAAATATATTAATGCTAATCTGCAAGAAGAAAACACGACTATGAAGAGAAACTTTGAAGATTTAACACATAGAAATGAAAATCTAATGTCTGTCTCTTCGGATTTAAACCAAAGAATTAAATACCTAGAAAACGAGAGGTCAAGCCTGTTAACAGCTATTAAACTCATCATTGTGAGAGGAGCAATAGTGAGAGTTGTGTCACGACAGGCCCGCCACTCCCGCCAGAAAATCTTTCTAGTAAGTCTACTCCTGAAGCCTCCGTTTCTACATGCGACGCTCAAATTCAAGTAATAGAGTCGGAGAGAAGTGTGGATAAAGGGAAAAAATGTCAAGCCTAAGCTGAATGAGGATAACCACAATGCTAAACGCGGTAGAAACACCAAAGGTCGGAGAAATCGTACGACTAATTTAATCAGCAAACTAAGAATTCCCTTGGTAATTGTCCTGACAATGCTGAGATTAGCATTCAACCTAAACACGGCAATTACCATAATGATCAAAGCGTTGGTGCCCATGATCAAAGCGTTGGCCCCCATAATAATAAATTAAATGACAAGGCTAAACCTAAGAAAAAAGTAACTGTCATAGCTGGAGATTCCATTGTAAAAAACCTGCAAGGCTGGAGATTATCTGACACCAACAATCATGTAGTGGCCAAGAGCTTTGCGGGTGCTACTATTGATGATATGGAGGGCTATTTGAAGCCTATTATCCGTAAAGAACCAGAATCAATAGTACTCCATGTAGGCACTCATGATTTAATGAACTTGTCACCCAAGCAAGTTGCCGAAGGCATCGGAAACCTAGGTCCCCAGATAAACGAAGAATCTCGTAATACTTACATTGTAATATCTAGTTTACTAGTAAGAACAGATAAGCACCACTTACCTGCCAAAACATCCGAAACTAACAAATTGTTAAACGCCATATGCTCCAAAAACAAGTGGAAATTTATCAACCACCAGTCTATCAATCAAACATGCTTGAATTCAAGAGGTTTGCACCTCAATCGAAAGGGGACTTCATTTATTGCCAATAATATTAGTAAATTTATTTGTAATGCGTAGGAGTTTGCCAGTCGGGAGTCGGTGAATTCCAGTTCCATTTATCAAACAGAAACTCATTCTCTCCAACGTATTCTAAATAGGCGTGGTCTTGCCATCGCCTGTCTAAATGTTAATAGTTTACTAGCAAATATTGACCAACTTGGGATTTTCCTAAGTGTTCATAAAATAGATATACTTGCCATCAATGAGACTAAGCTGGACTGTTCAATTACTTCTAACGAGATTTACATATCAGGATATGATATTGTTAGAAGAGACCGTCCTCACAATGGCCGTCATGGTAGTTGAGTTTGTATTTTTATTAAAACTAATTTAAATTTCCGACTTCGAGGAGATCTATCTGGTGAAAACCTCGAACTCCTTGCTATTGAAATTTGTAAATCTCATTCAAGGCCGTTTTTGGCGGTGACTTGGTATAGTATGGTGGCCCATTGTTATCATTGTAAATTCAGTAGATAATTTTTAAATAAAATTGTATTTCACGAACAAAATTAAAAAGAAAAAAAGAAAAGAAAAAAGAAAAAAAAATATTTAAAAAATAAAACATAGATATAAAAATATATGTCAAAAAAATAAAAAAAGCAAATAAAAAACAAGAAACAAAAGCTAACATGCGATTTTCGTTTTCGATTCTAAAATCAAATGTCCTCGACGTGGCCCATCGTTATCATAGACCAGCATGCCTTGCGAACTTTAATGGCAATTTTCAATTGAACAAGACGCTCTAGAGAGCGTAAACTCGCTGGGGTTGTGCAAATAAAAACTAAATTTTGTCACCATATTTGCTCATAATTTGGTAACCGCTACAGGAAAACAGAACAATTTACAGAAAATTACAACAGTTTGCGGAAGTGGGAAGGTTCTTGTATTTTGACTGTAACATACTGTAAAAGGTAGCCATTACCAGTAAGTTACTATAGTATCGCTAACATCAAGTTTTGCGGCCGCTACCTAGGCAGTTTACAGATATAGACAAGTATAATCAACTCGAATACAGTTTAAAGTGAGACTTTATTGAGGAGAATAGTAGAGAAAGAGCTGACAGTTCAGTTAGCAATACTTGCAGATACGCATCGAAGTATCATTATGCAATAAAAGAATCACAGATTTTTTTACAGTATATATCGCATAAGAACAAAATTCTGAAACAATCACTAGGACTATTTGAAGTTTAAATATTCAGTTTGAGTGTGAATTATGATTATATAATCACGGAATAAATCTTGCATCTGAAGAAACCAAATTTGGCAAGTTCTTTAATGCATGGAAACCATTTCTGTAAGCTTTTATATGTTTATTTTTTATGAAGCGTCGACAGTTCAATTTCATTGATTTACCAGTATTCGGCTCTGTGGAGATGGCGATGTTCGTTGTAAAGGTACCAATAATGAGGGACAATCAATATACGTTAGCCTTGTCTTCGAAGAATTAACAGTCGTATTTCAAGGAACTTGTGAAATCGCCAAAAAATCCACTTTAAATTAATAGCAATATTAATTGAATAGCGTACAAATTCACGAACAATTCATAGCGTCCATTCCGGCCCGTGCTCAGAATAGTGGAGATACCACAATGAAGTTAGTGATGAAATAAATTAATGAGGATCAGCATTCCATTGTAAACATATCCTCATTCTTCATTTCAATTAATAGTCGAACATATTTCGTTGTTTACAGTGATGTGTTGAACATTTTTCTACAAAATAAAGAATTACAGAAAGTTGAATATAAAAATACTTAACAGTGTGTCAATATATAAACATATTTAATTGGATTTGTCCCAGAGCTACAATAAGCTCATCGATATAGAGACAGCGTATAGATACGATCGTTTGTTTGTTCCTTGCATGAACTAGATGACGATTTAATGTTAACCCATTAAGTGACAGCGCGCTCCCCTTGACGAGTAAAATCGTCTGCCATTAGACAGAGTAAGTGGGCCATATTGTCTCTTAAAGCAGTGAATATAAATCCTTTTACTCATTATACATAATCATAGGAAGACTAAGTATAAATCATAACTACTTTGGGACATACCTTAACATAATTGGTGATAATTTCCCGAACTGTCTCATTTCAAACTTTCAGTCCTAAAAGAAAACATTTTGAGTGATGTATTTGAGCTTACAGCGCATTTGAGGTGTAGTGTAGTGTAGTGTAGTGTAGTGTAGTGTAGTGTAGTGTAG